TTTTCCCCAAGCAAGTTAACCAGGTCCCAAAGGATCTAAGTGACAATAAGGGGAAAAGAAAGGTATCCAGACAATCCTAAGCAGCACTCTGAAGAACAGCTCAGATAACACAGAAAAGAGAATGGGGGGTGCGGTACAGGGCACTCAGGGATTCAAGTGAGAAAATCATTGTGAGGGGAGTTAGAAAGAGTACTTCAAAACTCAGGCACAGTGAAGTAAACTCTAGACTCTGACAAATCCATTAAGCCCTCTTTGTATCTTAATGAGATGCTACTTGAGACTCCAGTAGGAGCCTTGTGAATGAAGAGGGAAATAATAAGACCCCATTGCTTGCTTGCCGTAAGAATCAGATGAAGTCATGTATGTGAAAGGGCTTTGTATCTGGGAGCATGGTGCCAGGGTGGTCAGGACAACTGGTAGTAGTAAGAGGGACCAACACTCTGTGGACATCTTTGTGGCTGGGGTCACAGATGCCTTAGAGGCCAATGTCTGAGTGAGGATAAAAAAGGAGAAATAGGTGATGTCACATCACTTGGCCCAGTAGAGGGCATGTAATGGGAATTTCAGTTAGAGGCGAGATACAATGTTCTTGTAAAACTTAATTACTTGAACTTCTGCTAGACCCTTGCCACACTGACAACATTCTGACAAGTCCATTTCACATTCCAGAAGATAGACGGGAGTATGGGTTCCTGCCTCTCTGGATCTAATGCTGACCAGAATAGTGAAGTGCAAGTTGCAGCAGCTCAGTAAGAAGCAGTGTGTCTCTGTGTTCAAGCTGGGTTAGAGGTCAAGGCCAGGCCAAGAAAATGCATACGTAGTTTTAGAAAAGCCAGATTTGTGAGTACAGGAAATGATAACCATTAGTTAATAGTCTTGCCCTCTGGAGAGAATGTTCAGGATGCTCTCAAAAATATCATTCTAGGGACGCCTGGGTGGCTCAGTGGGTTAAAGCCTCGCCTTCAGCTCAGGTCATGATCCCAAGGTCTTGGGATCGAGCCCTGCATCAGACTCTCTGCTCAGTGGGGTACCTGCTTCCTCTTCTCTCTCTCTCTCTCTCTGCCTGACTCTCTGCCTACCTGTGATCTCTGTCTGTCAAATAAGTAAATAAAATCTTAAAAAAAAAAACAAAAAATCATTCTAACTGCACAATAGTTAAGCTGGTGAGAAACAGAGGTCCCAAACACTGAGCTCTCACACAAATTGTGAGTTTGCAAAAGACATAGACTAGAGGTAGAAAGAGAAACTTAGAATCAAGGCATGGATTTTTTTGAGAATAGTCTCAGGGAAGTATAAACCTTTGAAAGCAAGAACAGGCTTAGGACAAAAAGGTGAAATGTTTCTTGTTTTCTCCTTAGGTACAGAGCTGACAGAAAGTGAGAGACCCTTAGCCTGGGGCTAGTGTCCTAGTTTTGAAAGAGAAATGCACGTCTTTGATGATCTCTGAATGACATTGGCAAAATGTTAATAATTGCCAAGGCTAAGTGATGGACGTAGGAATTCACTAGATCATTTCCTCTACTTGTGTGTATGTTTGAAAATTTTTCACAGTTTAATGTTTCTTTAAATTTCATTTACATGGGAAAATCTAGAAAACAGTTGACAAGAGGGACTGCAGTAGGGTGAACACTGAGTTACAGCACTACCTATACCCAAACTGTGGTAGGAAGGAAAGAAGGGAGGTAAATCAGTGAGTGCCACCTTTTTTGAAATAACTAGAATGTTCTTTGTTGTTGTATTACCCTAGGAGAAATCTCATACACATATCAGCTTTGAGGAACAATCACTGTGTGTTAGTATGCTGTTTGTGTCACTTCTTAGAAAAACTGGAGGGCACCTGGGTGGCTCAGAGGATTAAGCCTCTGCCTTCGGCTCAGGTCATGATCTCAGGGTCCTGGGATCGAGCCCCACATCAGGCTGTCTGGTCAGCGGGGAGCCTGCTCCCCCCCGCCCCCGCTCTCTGCGTACTTGTGATCTCTCTATCAAATAAATAAATAAAATCTTAAAAAAAAAAAAAAGCTGGAATCAGTAGAAGAAACTGGGTTGCTGTTGTTTTTAACAAATCTGTGTTGAAGATGGAAGCCCCTAGGCCAGGAGGTGGTGGAGGGGAAGAGGACACAGACCTGAGCGGTACTGTCTTACATCTCTAGATTGAGGGTAGTCCTAGGAGAGGCCTCTGAGTGGCACCAAGGTGCTCGCTTCCAAAGACTTAGTCCTGTGTTCAACTGTATTGGTGGCATCTTGACCAACTTGGAAGCTGTTCTCATTCCCTCCTTGCCCTTTCATGTGGATTTGCTGCCTCCTTGTGTTCCTATCATAATTAAAATAACAAAAAGCAGGAAACCAAGAAAGACAGATTACCCTGAGACTCCTTTATTGCTTCTCCCTGTTCTCCCCAACTTCTCCTGGGTGAGGCGTGCCCCCCAGGACATTCTTCTATATTTGTAATTCACTCCCTGGGTGGACCGCATCCAGATTTATTACTTCAGATACACCACTGCCCCTCGAACATCACAGGTTTTTTCCTGCAGGTCCACTTATACGTGGATTTTCTTCAATAAATACAGTACAGTAAATGTACTTTCTTTTCCTTATGATTTCCCCTTTTCTTAAGATTTATTTACTTATTTGCACGAGAGCACAAGCAGGAGGGGCAGAGAGAGAGAATTTCAAGCAGACTCGGCGCTGAGATCGTGACCTGAGCCGAAACCAGGAATCAGATGCTTGACCAAGTGGGCCACCCACGCACTGCTTTATGATTTTCTTACTAACATTTGCTTTTCTCTACCTTTGCTTTATTGTAAGAATATAGCCTATAATACATATAACATATAAAATGTGAGTTAATCGGCTGTTTATACTATCAGTAAGGCTTCCTGTCAACAGTAGACTATTAGTAGTTAAGTTTGGGGGGAGTCAGAAGTTACACGTGATTTTCTACCGTGCGGAGGGTCAGCACCCCCAGCCCTCCCATTGTTCAAGGGTTAACTGTGTATGCTTATGACTCCCAAACGCCACCTCCAAGCCCGACCTGGCACCCAGCCTCCAGGCTCATGTGTCTGTCCATGACCTCTCCCTTTGGCGGTTAGGTGGAGATCTCAGAATTCGGCGTGTCTCACACTGTCTGCTGTCCTGCACCTGCTCCGCCCAGAGCCTTCCCTGTCTAGGTTGATGGCAAGTTCCTCGGGCCAGAACTTTTCTGTTCCATCCCCTCCCTCCAGCACATCAGGAAATTCTGTGGTCTCAGCCTTCACATTATGTCCAGATTCCAAAGTGCTTGAGCCACATCATGTCTCCTAGACTACTGGTCTCCCTGTTCCTGCCATTGCAACCCTAAAAGTCTCCTCAGCATCAGTTACATTGTGTTAACTTCTCTGCTTCAATACTAAGTTAGCTCCTCATCTCAGTCAGTAAAACCCAGTACCCTTAGCGTGCCTGCAGGCCTCCCAAGGTCTACTGGGCTTACCTCTCTGCCTTTCCCTGTGACCCATCTCCCCCCCACGCTCCAGCCATGCCAGCCTCCTGAGGTTCCTCCTTGCCTCTTGCTGTGCACAGCCACGCCCATTCCCCAGGTGTGTCTGTAGAACTCCCCTGAGCCACCTTCCACACCCCCTCCAAGTGTTGCTCAAATGTCACCTTCTCAAGAAATAAGACTCACACACTCTGACCGTTCTGCTTTAGAGTGATAGTGGCACTCCCGGACCCCCTTTTCCTTACCATCTTTTTATTTCCGTGGCATTTACTACCTTCTGACTTGCTCTATAAGTTGCTTGTTTATTTTGTTTATTTTTTATCTCCACCTGATGGAATGTCAACTCCATGAAAATAGCGGTCTTTTGTCCGGTTCATGGGTGTATTTTATGGGCCTAGAACAGGACCTGCCTCAATAGAGTATTGATTAAAAGGAAAATTGAGACCATCAGGGAGGCACAAGGACCAGGAGAGTCAGGACAGCCGAGAGGCCCAGTAAGACAGGAACCAGAAGGCTCTCCCCCAGTGATGACCCTGGCAAGCCCCTTCTCTTTGACATCAGGGAATTCATTGGAGATGTCTTTCCTTCATTCATGTTGGGGCAGCGGGGGGGCTGTGGGAGCCTTGAGAGTGTGGGAGTTCAGTCATCCTCACACCTCAGCGCGCCCCCTGCAGCCGGCTTGAGGGCCTACCTCCAGCCAGCAGCTGGGTGACTGGGGCTGCAGTTCCGGAAGCAGACCTGTGCTGCAAATGCCTTGTGTCTGTGCTTAACAGAAGTCCGTCATTCTGTCTGCTGTTGAGGTTGCTTTTCAAACCATCCACACCTGGTTTACAGAGGAGAGAACATTAAAGCATTTAGTTATAAGACCAGTGGCGAGTTATTCTCTGCTAATACTTTTAAGAAAGTTCTTTGGCTTGAGGTTGATCATTTTATTTTATAAAAATTATATGAGTTTATTCCCCCCTCTCCCTTTTTTTCTTTTTAACCAGAAAATAAAGATAGTTAAATTCTTTAAAAAGAAAAAAAAAAAAATTATATGAGTTTATTTTATAAAACTATGATTGAATATATATTATTATATATACATTTATTTCTTCTTGTGTTTTCCTCTTCCGTATGAAAAACTGGTTGTTACATTAATAACGAACTTTTCTCATTTTTTAAGGATTATCAGTAAAGGTTTGCTAAGTCAATTAAATAGCATGCGTGTCATTCATTATTATTACTCTAGGTTTTGTTTTTCTTCTTTGGGATAAGCCTTGAGGGGCCATTCTGATAAAAGGCCCGGTGGGCGGTTGGAGCTCTTAGCCAGTGCCTTTGGGGGCAGTATATGTAGTCCGGAAGCTCAGCTCTTCACAGGCTTCTCGCACTTGCTTCCTGTGAGCTGGGACATGGTTGTGGTGAGTCGTGAAAAAAGTGCTCGGAGTTGGGCTTTGGGGTGACCCTCCCTGCCTGGCCGAGGCATGGGTGGGTGATAGTACTGATTCTGGGGGCTGGGATAATAACTCAGTACTTTCCTTCCTCACAGTTGTTTCCTCTCTTTGCTCCTGGTGGCTGCTGTGGTTTGGAAGATCAAACAAAGTTGCTGGGCCTCCAGGCGGAGAGAGGTAAGCCTCAGGGGATGAAGGTTCATGAATGCCTTGTGAGAGCTTCTTCTTTTCTGTTTCTCTAAAGCAAGTCAGTTTTAGCGACTTAGTGATAATTGATAGACATATCACAGGGGGACTCGGGCTGCCCTGTCTGCAGAATGTGGTCTGTAGATTTGGATTAGTGTATATAAAGTAAAATTAGTTCTGTACCACATGCCTTTAACTTTCTAAAAGGAATCTTTAGTATTTTTAGTCTTTAGTATTGACTTAACAGCTGCTAATTCTACTCTTTCTAGCAGCAGTCTGTCCTTAACTCAGGCAGGAGATCTGGGGGCTCAGAAGTAGGGCTTTTCATGAGAAGGAGGGTAAAATCAACCAGCTAAGCATCTCAGAAATGTCTCATCGCTCAAAGATAAATCAGTGTCTAGTTAAGTTTTTGCTTGAATTTCATTTTTTTAATGAGTCTTGATATATATCCAGAACTCTGTTCCAAAAGTAATATCGAAATGCAGTAAGATGAAACCAGAGAGGGACACAAACCATAAGAAACTCTTAATCTCAGGAAATAAACTGAGGGTTGCTGAAGGGGGGGAAGGGTGGAAGGATGGGGTGACTGGATGATGGAAATTGAGGACGGTATGTGTTGTAGTGAGCACTGTGTGTTGTATAAGACTGATGAATCACAGACCTGTACCCCTGAAACTAATAATACATTATATGTTAATAAAAAAAATACTAAGTCTCACAAATATTTACAATTGTGACCAGTCAAATAAATAAACTTGGTTAAAAGTGACAGCATAAACTCTTCATTTATCACACCTTTCACCGATGTTATTACTCTGCCTTCTAGCAGTCCTGTCTCCTATTGCATTGTTGATATGGAAGGGCACTGAGGTCTAGGCTGACCGCACTCCTCGGTCTTCTGTATCTATTCATGCCCTTTTCTATATAAAAATTGATCTACAGATAAGATTTAGAAGAGAACGGAAATATCCCAAATCAAAACTCAGAGACCCGCAGTACTGTTACCAGAACATTAATGTCTGTAATGAGGGCCTTCTCCTGGGGGCCGTGACCCCTTTTCTGACCCACATAAAGGTGATGTTAGCACAGAGGTAATGTTGCATCCTTTTTATTATCATTCTTAAAATTCAGTGGGTAACATATTCAGAGGAATTTTTTTTAATAGCCCCATTACTAATACATTTTAAAACCCAATGAATTGTACCATTTTTTTTAATTGTACAGTGTTCTTAAAAAAAAAAATGTTATCCAAACAGAGTAAGAAAGAAGTGGGAATCCTCAATAAACCAGTAGCCAGAGAAGGAATTTGAAAGGTATCAAAATATTACTCTCTCCATGAAGGGCATTACCCTAGGAGTTTCCATTTGAGATGAGCTTATGGAAATAATCATAATGGTCTATTTCTCCTTGAGTGTTTAGGAGAATTATTTCCAAAATACCTAAACTGTTCCAGATAAAGGGAAAAGATGGAAAGCTTAAAGAGTCCTAATTCATTGTATGCATAGAAACTTTGAAACCAAAACAAAGGCCAGTCACACAGTGACTGGATGTGGAGCAGTCTAATTTACCAGTGTAATAAAAGGATCATTTGCTCCCAGAAACCCTGTCAGAATACCTTATATCAGGGGCGCCTGGGTGGCTCAGTGGGTTAAAGCCTCTGCCTTCGGCTCGGGTCATGATCCTGGGGTCCTGGGATTGAGCCCCACATCAGGCTCTCTGCTCAGCAGGGAGCCTGCTTCCTCCTCTCTCTCTGCCTGTTTCTCTGCCTACTTGTGATCTCTGTCTGTCAAATAAATAAATAAAATCTTTAAAAAAAAAAAAAAAGAATACCTTATATCAGTGGGTAAAAATAGTACCTAAATTTTTAGTAGTGGCCAAGTAATCACTTAGTCATTTATTGAAATTCAACACTGGTTCCTGCTTTAAAAACTAAACTCTTAGTAAACTCAAAAATAATACCTCCTTTTAACACTATAAAGAATATCCAGATAACCAACATCACTCATGATATAAAAATACTAGAGGTTGTACCAACAAAATCTAGACAAGTTTGTCTTAAGAAGAGCTGGCATTTGAGCATTTCTAAATTCCAGGCACTGTTCTAAGAGGTTTTATATAGATTAACTGATTTATTCTTCATAACAAGCCTGTGAAATACTTACTGACCCTGTTTCACAGATGAGGAAACCGAAGCTCGGGGAGGCAGAAAAATAAATTACTCTGTGCCTCATTGCACAGTTACTATGAGACCAAACTGGGCTTTAAACTTGGGACTTCAGTCCTCACGGGCCACGTGCCTAGTCCTATAGGCCCCATTGTCACTTAATTCTGTTCTGGATATTATAAGCTGTGCACTCTGAGAAAGAGAAATAAGTTTTATTACAATTGGAAAGGGGGCAAAGTTACTATTTTCAGATAAGATGATAGAAGCACAGTAGAGTAGCGACTTGCATGCATAAAAAGTAATAAAGTATATAAAAAATAAGTCTGTGAAGACAGCCGACTAGAAAATGTTTGCAACATACTTGAAAGAAAATATGGAGAGGATGAACACCTTGTAGAAAAAGGTTTTTTAAAAGTATATTATGACTCTAAATAAAAATTTAAAAAGCTATTTCTTCATTCTGTAGGAATGGTGAATGTCTGGTGAAGGAGAGATTTTCTTTTCTTTAGCCACACCAGAGAGCATGCTTTATCAAGGAGGAGGGAAGAATTAGAAGATTCCTACCTTGCAGGGTTAGGATAGGCTTTATTTAGGTTCCGTAAGAATAATAGTTTCTTCAGCATATTATTATTTTTTTTAAAGATTTTGTTTATTTATTTGACAGACAGAGATCACAAGTAGGCAGAGAGGTAGGCAGAGAGAGAGGAAGGGAAGCAGGCTCCCCGCTGAGCAGAGAGCCCGATGTGGGGCTCAATCCCAGGACCCCGGGATCACGACCTGAGCCGAAGGCAGAAGCCTTAACCCACTGAACCACCCAGGCTCCCCCAGCATATTATTTTTTAAATCATTTAAATTTCTTTAGAAGCCCCAGATTAAACTTCTTTAAGAATTACCCCACCCCTAAAAAAGTATGCTTATGACAACAGTGTTTATCAACAAATTAACTAAGCTTTTACCCTTGCCATTTAAAATTTCTCTAACTGTGAACCCAGCTGTTGAGAATATATTTCGGCATTTCCCCAGCTTCAGTCATGGCTTATCCCTCTCAGATTTGTAGAAGAAATGACTTACTGGGATTTATTACAGAAGTCATAGCAGTTGACACTCCTGAAGGGCTTGCTGGACGCCTACACACATTACCTCCTGCACTCTTCCCAAAGGAACTTCCAAACCAGAGGAGCGTGGGTGCTCTGTCCTGCTGTGACTCCAGCTCTGAGAATAGCACAGAACCCAAAGTAGGGTTGCCGCTTGTATTTGTTGAGTAAGTGGACCAACAGCTTGACGAGATGTAGAATGTTAGTGTTTTAAGAAAATGTTTAGGATAAAAATATCCTTCTAAAACAGAGCCCTGATCTATCCAGACTAAGATTCTATCTCCTTCCTACCATAGTTCCAAGGGGGCGGTTTGCAGTCAGGCCTGGTTGTCTTCCATGGCATGACCGACCTCCAGGCTTCAGTGACATGCCCAGATTGCTAATATCCTCAATGATACATGATTGATATATATTGATCCCACCATGTGCAAGGCGCTGAGCTGGGTTTTGAAGTGTTTCCTTTGAACCTGCTAACACTCTTAGGACATTAAAAACCCATTTCAGAGAAGAGGGAACTGAAGCCCAGAGACTTTAAACACCTTTTTTTAAGGTGATACAGCTGGAAAGCATTGGATCAAAGATTCATATCCAAGCCTCCCTAAATCCAGAGCCCCTGCTTGTGCCTCTCACTGTGCCAGACTTGACATGTTTTTGTTTTCAGCTTATACCACCCCTGGGAACAGAGAGCTCTTTCCATTCCTATCTGCAGTCTCAGTACAAGTTTCAGTAGGAAGGAAGAAAGCCTGGCTTTAGTAATAAAAACACGAGGAGACAGGGCTACGTCATTTATTTCATGTACTTAACAAGCAGGCACCACAGCACTCTGTCCATTAGTACTTATCCTGTATCTCTAACCAGTAAGGACTTTTTTTCTTTAATATACAACGATAGTGCTGTCATCACATCCAACAAAATTTAGTAAGTCCTGATGATACCTCGTCTGTGTCCAGTTTTCTCCAGCTGTCTCAAAAATAACGTTTTGGACTTGATTTGTTTGAAGCAGGGAGGATGAGGTACTTTTAATATGTTGCATCCCTTATTAAATTCCCCTCAGCACTCGGTCTGCTAACACTTGCCATAATATTACTCCGTAGCAACTTCTTCGAGAGATGCAGCAGATGGCCAGTCGCCCCTTTGCCTCCGTAAACGTTGCCTTGGAAACAGATGAAGAGCCTCCTGATCTTATTGGGGGGAGTATAAAGGTGAGAACGTGATTCAAAAGTCCCGAAAACTTGTAGAGAACAAGAGCCTTATTCTATTGCCTCGTAATTATGTGTTCCTCTCTCTCTTTAGCCATCAGACAGCACGCCGATGTCACATATTCTTTTGCTTTCATTTTTCAGTCTTTCATTCATGTTGTTAAGCATTCTCGTGGTCAAAGAATTTGAAAATATAAATGGTTTGCCTCAAATTCTTATTAAGTATTCTGTGACATAATACTTTAAAATTTATATTGGAAAAGAGCTAAATTGCAACATTGCTTTTTATAAGGAGTTTAGGGAATTTTCTTAAAGGGGCAAAAATTATGAGTCACTATGCATTCCATGGAATATAAATATTTCTGACTCCTCCAAAAGGAAATGAGGAAGAAAGTGAGAAAAGTTTCTCTTTTGGCAAAATGATGAAATATTTCAGATACTCTGGGAAAACAGCTATAGATCCTGAATTTTAAAATACTTATTAAAGCATTACTGAGCTCAAAGGAAGTAGGTGTAATTCCCAGGGAATACTCTCCTATCCCCCACCCCCAAAAAGAATAAATCGTGAACCCAAGCCAGAACGATGTGTGGTCTGAAGTGGTTTCAGCTTGGTAACACACGGTGACTCCCTGCTGACGTAGGTGCAGATCCTCTCTGTGGGAAAGCATCCCCAGTCCAGCCATGTAGGATCCCCACAGATCAAGATCAAGCCATCAGAGCTCACCAAGAACAAGAGAGACAACCCACTGGGAATAAGAGTTAGCAGACGCCATGGACAGTGGTTTAGACAGAACTTCCCATGTCAGAGTGGCATCTCAGGCACATAATATAGCTCTGTCTGAAATGTTTAAAGATGGGAAAGATGGAGTTGTAAAGATGAGGAGACCATAAATCAAAAAGGACCGGATCTTAAAAAGAACCAAATGGAACTATTAGAAATGGAACATACGAAGACACCTGGCTGGCTCAGTTGGTAGAGCATGTGACTCTTGATCTCGGGGTTGTTGAGTTCCAGCCCCATATGGGGTGTAAAGATCACTTAAGTAGATAAATAAACTTAAAAAAAAAAAAAACATGGACTATATAGGGGTTGAGATTTTTTAAATAACTCAGTTTACACATTAAACAGCATGTCAGACACAAGTGAAGACAGAATTTTTGAACTGGAAGATGAATCTGAAGAAATTACACAGAATGCAGAACAGAGAGACAAGAAGATGGAAACTGTGACAAATGATAAGAATATGGAGGATAAAAGAAGAAGACCTAACGTGGCTTTTATACTATATTGTGGGATTGCCACAGTGTGAAGAAATCGGAATGCTTGCGCACTGTTCATGGGAATGTGAAATCATGTAGCTGCTGTGGAAAACAGTATTGGTCTCCCTTAAAAAAAAAAAAATAGAATTGCCATGTAATCTGGCAGTTCCTCTTCTGGATATACCTGCTGGAATGGAAAGCAAGGTCTCAAAGCTACATTTGCACACCCATGTTCATAGCAGCATTATTCACAATAGCTAAAAGATGGGAGCAACCCTAATGTCCATCAGTAGATGAATGGGTGTGCAAAATGTGGCCTATACACGCAAGGAAATATTAGTCAGTCTTAAAAAGGGAGGAAATTCTGACGCATGCTACAACATGGGTGAACCTTGAGGACATTATGCTAAGTGAAATAAGCCAGTCACAAAACAAATACTGTATGATTCCACTTTTCTGAGTTATCTAGAGTATTCAAATCCCAGTGACAAAGTATAATGGTGGTTGTCAGGGGGTTGGGAGAGAGGGGCATAGGGAGTCAGTATGGGTGTAGGGGTTTAGTTCTGTGAGAGGAGAAGAGTTCTGGAGATGGATTGTGGTAATGGTTGCATAACATGATACTTAATATCTCTGAAGTGTAAACTTAAAAAGGGTTAGGATGGAAGAAAGGGTTGGGGGGAGGCGCCTGCATGGCTCAGTTGGTTAAATGTCTGTCTTCAGCTCAGGTGATGATCCCTGGGTCCTGGGGTCGAGCTCCATATCGGGATCCCAGCTCAACAAGGAGTCTGCTTCTCCCTCTCCCTTCCACTCCCCCTGCTTGTGCTCTCTCTCACCCTCCCCGCCCCCACCCCACCAAATAAATAAATAAATAAATAAAAATAAGAGGGTTAGGATGGGGAGGGGGTGCCTGGGTGGCTCAGTTGGTTAAGCGTCTGTATTCGAGGATCCTGGGATTGAGCCCTGTGTTGGGCTCCCTGCTTAGCAGGGAGTCTGGTTCTCCCTCTCCTCCCCACTTGTGTTCTCTTCGCTATCTCTGTCTCTGTCTCTTTCTCTCTCAAATAAAAGAAGTCTTAAAAAATAAAAGGGGTTAAGATGGTATATGTTATCTGTATTTATTATATTAAAAAATAACTGGGGGGGGGGGCGGAGAAAAGATCACCAAAAGGAAATGACAGAGCAAAGCTGACTTCTCATTAGTAACACCAGAAGCCAAGCGAGTGTGGAAGAATGTCTCCAAATGACATCAGGAGGAGAACTGCCAGTCTAGGATAGCGTGCCCCTGAAACTGCCTTCCAAGAACGAGGACAGAAGGAAGATTTCTTCTGATGAGAGGGAAAGCAGAGTTGACCACCACAGACCTGTACAAAAGAAATGTCTGCAGGATGTGCTGGGAGAAAGTTAAACTACCCAGAAGGATGGACTGAGGAATAAGAAGGAAGAGTGAGAAAATGAAATGGTAAGCATATACACATCTAAGCAAATATGATAAAATAACAATATGTGGGATTAAAAAAAATAGACAAATTGAAAGTACTGAGAGGCACCATACATATTACTCTGTCAAAGGCTTTACTGACTCTCTTTCCAGGACACATACGCTCTCACCTTCTGGCTGCTCTGGCTCAGTGTTCTCTATTTAACGCTCTCCATTTCCCCACACCTCTAAGAGCGGTGCAGGTCCGCCTCGGTCTTTGGGCCTCCTCTCATGCCTTCTACACTCACTCCTTTGATGTCCGTCTTAGTCTGTTTGAGCTGCATACAAAGTAGCAGAGACTGGGTGTCCTAGAAATGACAGAAATTTCTCAGAATCTCCGAGGCTAGGAAGTCCAAGATCAAGGTGCTGGCAGATTTAGTGTCTGGTGAGAGCCCCCTTCCTGGTTCGTAGATGGTGCCTTCTCACTCTGACTTTACGCGGTGGAAGGGGCTAGGGAGCTCTCTGGGGTCCCTCTAATGAGGGCGCCAATCACCTCTCAGAGGCCCTACCTCCAAATATTGTATTAGGCATTAAGATTTAACACACGAATTTTAGAAGGACACATTCAGACCCACAGCAGTGATCTTTTCCATCGTGGGTTCATCTTAACACCATGATCTCAGAGCTCTCCTGGGAGCCACCAACTCCTGTATCCAGTTGGTTGCTTACTCAGCATCCCCACTTGTCTTAGCAGCAGTCTCAGAGTTGACCTATCCAAAGCTGAGCTGTGGATATTATCCCCCCAATACCTCCGCTTGGCATATTGCCCCCAACTCTGTACATCATCTGAGCCGCTCCAGGCCAAAGTCCTGGAGTTGTGCTTGGTCCGTGCTTGCTGTCATTCTCATCGGACAGTCAGTCCATCAGCACATGTCTTTGATTCTGTCTTCCACCCCTGCACACACCTGCGCCGCTGTCACCACACTGATCTAAACCACTGTCCTCTCACCTAACCCATCCTTCCTGTGCTGCAGCCACAGCGGTTCCAGAAGTCATTTTCTTCAACCAAATTGAAAAAAATGAATGACACATTTGGGGGTATGGAGACAGAATTCTAAAGATGGCCACCACAATTCCCCACTCATGGTTTTTCAGTCCATCACTATTCTAAGTGCTGCTCTGAAGGGACTGGGCAGAAATCATACAAATCCCAAGGTAGCTGAGACCTTAAGACACTGAGGGGTTTTTCTCTGTGTGGTGGCAGAAGAGGAAACATGCAGAGGACTTGGCATGCCAGCACTGATTTGAAGCTGGAGGGGCTGCGGGAGGAAGCCTCTGGAAGAGAGTGGCCCCTTGCAGCAAGGAAGTGGGAACCTCAGACCTACAGTTGCAAGGAATTGGATTCTGCCGGCCACCTGAGGGCACCTGACAGAGCTTTGAACAGATCCTTCCCTAGAGCCTGCAGAAAAGAGCCAGCCCAGATGCTAACTTGACTTCTACCTGTGAAGATAAGAGCTGAGATCCTGGAGACCTTGGAGAGATAAGAGCTGGGAATTTCCCAGAACTGATGGAAGGGATGAACAGACCTATATCTGTAAGCAGGAACCCTATGGAGCTCTTCTGGACTTCTGACCTGCCCAACCGAGCTAGATAATAAATAAGTCCTGCAACAATGGCCACAACAGCCAAACTATGGAGAGAATCTAGATGTCCATCAACAGATGAGTGGATCAAGAAGATGTGGTATAGATACACAACGGAATACTATGCAGCCATCAAAAGAAACTAAATCTTGCCGTTTGTGACCACATGGATGGAACTAGAGGGTATTATGCTTAGCGAAATAAGTCAATCAGAAAAAGACAACTATCATATGATCTCCCTGATATGAGGTAGTGGAAATGCAACATGGGGGGCTTGGGGGGTAGGAAAAGAATAAATGAAACAAGATGGGATCGGGAGGGAGAGAAACCGTAAGAGACACTTAATCTCACAAAGCAAACTGAGGGTTGCCAGGGGGAGGGGGGTGGGGTTATGGACATTGGGGAGGGTATGTGCTATGGTGAGTGCTGTGAAGTGTGTAAACCTGATGATTCACAGACCTGTACCCCTGGGGCTAATAATACATTATATGTTTATAAAAAAAATGAAAAATTATAAAAAAATAAGTGCTGCCGTAAGCAACCAAGATTACACAGCAATAGAAACTAATAGAGGACATCTTTAAAAATCACGATGGGGATGGGGTAGCTGGGTGATGGACATGTAATGAGCACTGGTTGTTATATAAGACTGATAAAAGATGGATGAATCACTGACCTCTACCTCAGAGGCCAAGAATACCTTATATGTTAATTAATTGAATTTAAATTTTTATTAAAAATGAAAAAAAATTTCAGAAATGAAGGCTGCATCATTAACATGTGAGAAACCCCGGTTTAGGTAGTTCTTTGTTATCTCCCACCAGACTGTTCCCAAACCCATTGCCCTGGAGCCGTGTTTTGGCAACAGAGCTGCTGTCCTCTCTGTGTTTGTGAGGCTCCCTCGAGGCCTTGGTGGAATCCCTCCTCCTGGGCAGTCAGGTGAGTAGATGAGGGCCGGTGACGAACAGGACGTGAACATGGGTGTAGAAGTGATAATGAACCGGAGGCCTGTGCCTACCTCCTGTCATTGTGAGGATCCAGGGAGATGATCCCATTGTCCCTGGTGTTCCCTACACTGTCTGTCCTGAGGTCATGGTTCCTTCCCAGGGATGAGCTGGGAGCACCCCGTTCCCTCTGCCTCCCGACGGTGGTGACACTCCCGGCCACACCTTCCCTTGCTGTGCTTTTGCCTTTTGCCGGCTCTGGCTTTTCTCCCTTGTTCAGCCCTGACTGTAGGCCTTCTGCCCTCCAGCCATATGCTCATCCACAATCGTCTTACCTACTCTAGTGGCCCCAGCTAGCTCCTTCAAGCTGGCCACCCTCAACTTGGTATTTCTAGCACTGCTGCATTTCTTTTGCCTTTCACTCTGTTTTAGACAGAAGGCACAGTTTTAACAACTTATACGAAGTCTTAGAAATGTACTCACAATCCACCAGTGTTCATTGTTCTCTTTCCTTTCCAGCCCTGGCCAGCTTTGTTGAAATAATTGTATAGATCTCATTTTTATTCTTCTTTTTTCATGTAACTATCATAAATATTTTAATACTTTACTGCCCCACGTTTTTACCAGTTTCTTTTATGCAATTCCATCAAGTATACAGATCATGATTTCAATAGACATCCTCTTATCAAAGGCCAGGGAGATATGGAATACAGTTTTGGAAATATCCTGATTAATTGTGGAATACTCTGAGGGATGCCTCAGACAAGATGCACCATACGTTTTAGACAGCTTTCAGTTGAAATGATTTTGGGGGTCAGGGTTGCCTTAGCCAGAGAAAGCCTCGTGTCTGTGATAAAGTATGTTCTAGAATCCTTGCCCAGCCCGGAGCTCTGCAGCGAGTGCAGCCTTCAGATCCAAAGCCGCCTCCGGCTGAGCTCTTGAAATGGTTTCTGGGTCCTCACGAGCGAGGCCTTTAGGCTCAGCCAGGCCAGGCTTTATTGTCTTCATTTCATAGGGGAACTGCTTGATTTGCTCTCACCTGGGAATATGAGTTCAGCTCCTAAATCAGCCTTACCCATGTCAAGGTCAGAATGACGCAATGTCCTGAACTCCGGAGCATTGTCTCCTGTCACTTCCCAGCTCAGCAAACTTGGCCTGTACTCCCTGAGAGCAAGGCCCTGGCTAGAGTAGGAAGTGACAGGCTTGCCATACTGTGACCATTCCTGCCCAGCCCATCTCCCTCAATTCCTGATGAAGGCCTACTCACTGCTTGAGACCCTCCCCAAGTAAGACCATCCCCCCATTTTAGATGGTCTCTTCTCTATTCCCTATTTTAGATGGTCCTTCCTCTGGACTCCCAGAGCACCTGGCTCTGCCTTTGCTCAAAACAGTGTCTCCAAACAGTGGATTCCCCACTGCACACCAGGCACTTTACATAAAATATATCCCCACTGCCCCCAATGCCTCCATTTTATAGGTGAAGTAACAGGCGGCCCTAACATGGCCTCTGAGAACCTCAGCAGGGCTCTGAGCCTCCACTGGCTCGTTCCCATGCATTGAGAATCCAGCTCTCCACACCCGTGCCTTCCCCACCAAACATCAGGTGAATCAGTTCCTAGTACAAAACGAAGAATGGAACCACTAGTCCCTAAAGCAAAGGTGATGGAGGTGGTGAGGTGACGAGCCGGGTACCATTCTCAGATGTTCTCGTGGGTTCACTCAGTGACTCCTCACACATGCCCTGTACGTTATTGTCCCTATTTTACAAATGAAGAAACTGAGGCATGGGATGGTTAAAGATCCTTAGGTATTCCAAAGCCTGGCCCCAGAGTCTGTCCTAACCTGGTCATAGGATAGATAACGAAAATAACTAGTGCTGGCTGGGTGATGTGGAATGAATCTGAATTTACTGACAGTGCTGCTTTCTCTTGGCACCCTTCTGGAGGCCTGCAGGAAAAATGTAGCACTTAGAGCGTGACTGTAATCTTGTCTCAGTGCTCCAACTGCCCGGCAGAGCTCTTTGCTTTGTTGATCTGCTGAACAGCAAGCTACATCTGTTGTGTAAAAAGTGGTGGTGGGGGGGAGGATATGCATTTGTGTTTGCATCAGTAAACCCTGAAAGAATATATAAAAACTATTGAAAGCAATGCTGGGGTGGAGGGAAGCACAGTGTGGAACGAAGGAAGGTTTTTTCCCCTCTGTACTTATTTATTTGCTCATTGCACCCCGGGAATGTAAAAAAACAAAAATCAAAAAACTGTCTTCTGAAATTATGTTTAAAAACAAAGCAAACTGCTCCTCACCACGTGTTCCCCGTGGCTCCCCCCAGGTCTCGCAGTGGCCAGCGCCCTGGTGGACATTTCTCAGCAGATGCCAATAGCGTACAAAGAGAAGTCAGGAGCCGTGAGAAACCGGAAGCAGCAGCCCCCCGCGCAGCCCGGGACCTGCATCTGAGGCTGGGCTGGGGACTCTCCGTGAGCGAGCCAGGGGGGGCGGCGTGCCGGCGCCGTCTGCAGGGAGGGGGCAGGCGGGGAGACGCTGCGTGGAGCGGGCCGAAGACTGGAAACCCTCGACACATCCGACTCCTCTGCATGTTCACAAGCTTTCTTTGCCGGTTTCTCCCATCTGTGCTCCAGCATCTAACCTTTTACTTTTGCATAGGAAATAATGGATTGAATAGCAGGTCCAGGGGGGATCCAGTTGTTGCTGGAGGAGGCTGGGGCAGAGCCAGTGAGAGAGCTGGGAGCGACACTCAGGTTCACTTGCGGAAAACTGTTCTTGGGGCCGTCTCAACTTGCAAAAAAAAACAAAAGATGTAGTGTTTACAAGTAGACATTCACCACCAGTCGTTCTTGAACATGGTCTTTTAAAAACTAGTCAGATGAATGAATTCGTTCTCATCTGAAGCCTGCTATCTTTTTTAAAAGATGTGCTACTTATTCTCGCACGACGTAGGCAAATCTCTCTCTTGCAGGGAGTAGCTTTTTTCTAGTTGAGAACTCACAATGGTCCATCTCTTTTGAATCATATCAAACTAAGGTAGAAGGGGGCTATTTTAAATGTCAAGGTCAGCAGTGTTACCTAGAATGTAAACTGATGTAATAGGTAGTTTTCTATAGCAACTTGATTAATTTAGTCTTAATCCATTTGAAATCCTCTCCCTCTGTCTCTCCCTCTCTCTTGTCTCTCTCTTTCTCTCTCTCTTTCTCACTCACACACACACTTACACACACACACTAAGTGCCTAGACTTTAAATAGATCTAGCAATTGGAGAGTTAGTAAGCCTAAGTTTTTCCATAATTGCATTCCTGCATTCTTACAAAATTTAAATAGCTACCATTGGCAATCTGCTCTTTTTCTAAAATCTAATTTGCAGCCAGGAAAGAATTTTCTCACCCCAGGGAACGTTTAACCTAGCAGCAGGGACTGAGAGGAAAGCAGAAATGACCAAACTGTGAAAGCTCCTGTTGATGTTGCTGTCAAAAGACAAGACCACTAAATAAGGTGTGGTCCTCTTGTGCCCCCTGCCCCCCCGCCCCCCACTCTAGGCCTGACATTGGCTCCAGCCCTTCTGGCCGCTCCTGCCAGGACACCACTGAGGAAGGGACTTGTCCATGTCACGTGTCTCTCTCGGGCAGAAAAGAGCATGCCAGCGCTTGGGATCCCTGCGTCAGAGCAGCAGTGTGCCCTGTAGCCTGCCCTGAGCTGCTGGGTCATCCTCAGGCTGCGGGTGGAACTGCATGACCAGAGCCTGGAGAAGGACCTGGAACGTTTTGGTTTGCCCGCTCTCCTCCAGGAGAGGCTCGGCTCGGCACCCGCATCTGCCTTCCCAGCCCCGGGTGCTGGCTGTGGGCAGGGCAGGGACCACCGAGAAGGATGAAAAGCACATGGAGAAAATGGATGAGGAGGAATAACCATGCCATGTGGAAAGTGACCACGCTGAAGTGGGGCGGGGCGGTCCTGCTCTTCTCCGCAGGCCGCTGCCTGCGGGTTGTGGGGTCCCTGTGTATGGTGCTCTGGATTCTGGCATTATGCGGCAGCCTCCCCAGGTCTCCCTTCCGCTTCAAAACTTGGGTTCTCTGGCATTATCCCGTAGGGATGGATCTCTAGGTGACCACGCTCGTTTGTGAGTTTGGAGAAATTAATACTCAAAAGAGCAAAGACTGCAGCATTTCACCTTTAAATGCAGTGCCTAGAGTAGGAGTGCTGTCTCTTTCCCAGCACCAACCCCTCACCCATGAAGAGTTTCCTGGAAAGATGTTTCCATGGAAGTTGAACCCTAAAACACTATCTGATGCACAGAACACCTCTACCTGGAGACTCTCCTCTCAAAAAGCTGCTTTTTCACATCATTGGCAAAGAGCAGACAATTCTAGATAAGACCCCTTCTCTTCCAAGCTTCCCACACCCCTGCTCCACATCACGGCACCCACAGAGAGCCTGTCGCAGACTGGCGCCTCCCCCTGTAATTGCCATGAGGCCTCTTGGCAGAGAGAGGGAGGCCGCTGGAGAAGGAACTCCCACAAGGAAAAATCCTTGTTTGTTCAAAGGACCAGTATTTCTTTGGCCAAAGAAGTCTCTTCCCCATGGGTTCCCAGGCCTTGAAATAACATGCACCGTGTCCCATAACCACCTGGTTTGTTGTTGTTATTTTTTTCCTAAAAGTTTATTTTTAAAAAGGAAGGAAAAAGGAGCAAGTGATGTTTACTTTGCTCCAACAGTGGAGAAACAGCTGAATCCACCTGCTTATCCTCTGCAGCCAATGGCAAACAGCTTCCTCCGGGGTCAGGCCAGAGGAAGGGAGTGGCAGGAGAAGGAGGCACTCGGCTTAGGAGCCAGTTACCCAGAGGGAATCATCTGGAACTTCAGAGAGATGGCTGCGTGTCACAGGAGAGCCTGTATATAAGTTAAAATAGTCATGAAAACATTGATGTTGCACTTGTACATAATTATACAGTAGTGTCCAGAATGTTCAGACTTTCAGAGTGTACATAAAACAGAAAACTATGCTAATGTTATTTTTATTAAATGTAACAGTGTCTGAGTTTTACCTGATACGTTTTTGTGCCACATACCGGATATCCAGGTCTAAAGAAGTCCTCTCATTGGGCCCTGATACATTGATAACAAAACCAGGGGAAAAAAAAAAAGCATCCCCGTTGTGCCAGTGTGTCCAGATGCATTTGGTATGAATCGGTTGATTCTAAAACAGAAATCGTCTGTCAGTACACAAAGGAGAAATCAGGCCTGGAGCCCATTTAAACAGCGTTATGTGAGGAGCATCAAAGGCAGTGGGCCTGTTGCTGTCACCGCTGCTGGCTCTGCAAGGGAGTCGTGAATCTGTTAGCCTCTTGGTGCTGTGTCTGGCCAGGGATGACCAGTCTTGTCCTGAGAAGCATTTCTCTTAGTCTCTCAGTTCAAAGACCCTGTCAGATTTTCTAGAAAGGGATTTTCCAGGCTGCCTTTTCCGTTTGGTCCACGATTTTAACGACCATTTCCTAGGAGGGTGGTTCCCTGTTCTGAAAATCGGGGGTGGGAGGAGGGTGGCTAGTTCGATGATGCATAGCTCCCGTTTCCTCCCGGACAAGTGCGCCCAGCCTGGCCGCCTGGCCATCTTCCACTCGTCCTATTACAGTTTGCGGAGAAGTCTGCGCTCCCTGTGAGATCCCCTCTAAGAGATGGGAGGAGATGTGGAGAGAAGGCAACCCACAGGTACTCCACTGAGCCAACCTGGAGGGAGAGCCGCCCTGGGCAGGAAAACAGCAGAACATCGGGCCTGAAGCTCCCGATGGGATACTCACTGGGAGGTCTGGGGTGAACTTAAAAGAAGAAAAATGTCATGGGACCTTTTCAGTGCACTTTGCTCCTTCGGTTCAATGGAGTGTATCTGGGGAGGGGTTGGGGGTTCACTTCCTTGGGTGCTGGTGTCATTTTCGAGAACACCCTGGATCCTTCAGTTTCTTTCAACCATCCACTCCCTCAATGAATACTCACTAAGCACTTACTAACAACCTAAGCTAACGCGAAGGGCAGTGACCAAGATGGAAAGCTCTTTGGAATGACAGCAAAACCCAACTCGCGCCTCTCATCCCAGGAGAACTTTTCTCGTGGTGGTTTCTGTGAGAATTGGCCACCCTGAGGACAGACCCAGGAAGGCAGAAGTTCTGTCCTCGGGCCAAGCGCCGGTTCTCAGTCTGAAATGTGTGCCCAATTTACCAAACTTGGCTCCAATCATAAAAATCACCGTGACGGCAGGCCTGCCAAGAGACATTTCCCCGGAATCATTCAAACTCCTAAACACCCTTACCTGCAGGGAGATGGTCTGGAGTGGAGAGGAGAACTGGCGCCTTCTCTTTCAAAGGCAATAATGGAATTGACTTTCAGTAACTGAAATTTGTGCACAAAACATTCTAAACACTAGTGAAGCCTGTTTCGTTGAATTAATTCTGGCTCTGGAAATGTTTTTGTTTTATAGGTATTTACGGTTTTTGTTTTTGTTTTTATTTTTGGTTTGGATTCAAGCTTAGTTTGTTAATATGTATAATTTAGCATCTCTTGCACTCATGTAAATATGGAGTAAGTATTGTAAACTATTTCATTGCTGGGGACTGTGGGTGTTATACATACATTTAGGACTGCAATTTTTTGGTATTTTTTGTATTGTAAAATAACAGCTAATTTAAGCAGGAACAAGAGAATTAAGGGAGGTCTGTGCATTTTAAACACAAATGTGAAGAACTTGTATATAAACAAAAGTAAATACTATAATACAAACTTCCTTCTGAAATAAAAGTAGATCTGGTAAAAATGTGGTTTTTGCTCTGAATGTTGAATTTTGATTTTTTGTTTTGCTTTCTTTTCCTTTATTTTTACAGTTTGATCATTAGAACCTTACAGAAAGGGGGGAAATGCTTAAAATGGTCACCAGTTTTCAGACTAAGAGGAAGCCCTTGGCATTCAGTGACGGTCAAGGTATAAAACCAGCAGGGTGGGCCCCTCAGCTACCTTTTGGGGTCAGAGGTACAGAGAGCCCTGCGTGGCCTGTGAGCAGACTCCCGGTGTCCCCACTGTAGTCGGTGTTGTGCTTGAAATGACTGTGCTGGGGAGAGACAGCCGTGTAAGAGCACCTCTGCCCTGGTGTGGGGAGGGTCCCCAGAGTGGGGGCCGACAGGGGTGGGGAACAGTCCAGGCTGAGGCCCAAGCCACCGCAGGTGCCCTCAGTCTTTGACCTTCTTGTTCTCTCACGGGTTCCTGAATGTTTAGGTTTTCCAGACTGCTCAATCTCAGGTGTGCTGACAGGTCGAGTACTCCAAGGCCATGGCGTGTCCTGGGAGTTTCCGATGTTCTTCCCACCCAGAGAGCTGTGTCTGGGGGTGCAGCTCCTGTGCGTAGAACAGGGTCAGAACAGTACACGGGCACCCTGGTATGGAGGGCAGGAGTCCTAGAAGGAAGATCAGCTTAAGAGGAGTTGAGAACTGAAGAGGAAACACAAGGAAATGCCATGGTTCCTGTAGGGGAGGGAGATTGAGGCATTAAGTCCCTCCGGCCCATCAGCGCATGGGACTGGGCTGGGGAGGTAAATGGTGGGACTGGTGGCCACTGCCAGGGTGGAGAAGACCATGAAACTGTTCAGGGGGAAGGGCCGTGGGAGCCACCAATTGCTTAGGACAGGATGAAGACCTGTGGGAGCGTGGTTTGTAGCAGAGACAATGCCCTGTGTTCACCAAACCTATTAGAATTTGCCATTGGGAATATTTATAGCAGCAATGTCCATGATAGCCAAAGTATGGAAAGAACCTAGATGTCCATCAACAGATGAATGGATAAAGAAGATGTGGTATATATATACAATGGAATGCTATGCAGCCATCAAAAGAAATGAAATCTTGCCATTTGCAATGATGTGGATGGAACTAGAGGGCGTTATGCTGAGCGAAATAAGTCAGTCAGAAAGATAATTATCATATGATCTCCCTGACATGAGGAATTTGAGAGGCAGGGTGGAGAGTTGTAGGGGGTAGGGAGGGAAAAAAAAGAAACAAGATGGGATCAGGAGGGAGACAAACCATAAGACTCTTAATCTCACAAAACAAACTCAGGGATATGGTGGCTGGATCCCTATCCCCAGGGACAGGTGGGGATAGGGTGACTGGGTTATGGACATTGGGGAGGGTATGTGCTATGGTGAGTGCTGTAAAGTGTGTAAGCCTGATGATTCACAGACCTGTACCCCTGGAGCAAATAATACATTTATGTTAATAAAAATTTAAAAAAAAAAAAATTTGCCTTTGGACCCACAGGTTAGGTGGGGGGCCATAAAGTGAGCTGTGGCTAAAGAAATGTTGGAAGAAATGATGGACACCAGTTCCAAACTTGGCCCATGCAGTGCTCCCACATGGGACTCCCTGGAGGTCAGGTGCCAAAGAGGTTGGAAAACATGTGGGTCCCTGAGTCACCAATTAGAGGCAAGTCACCCGCTCAGCAAGAGCTGTATGCCGGTCTTTGCAGCACTGAAAGGAAACTTCTACTCTAACCGACCCACTGAGATTTGGGACTTTGTTACAACAAGTGGCTTTTCTAACTCACGCTACCCAGATTGGTGCCCTGAAGCTCGGCACAACCATCATGGAAACCTACAACGCAGGGCTTTGCCCTCGGTTGTGGCCAGGTGGCAGGCAGGGAGCAAACAGATGGCAGCAGCAGAGCAACTGGGATCCCTGACAGGCAGGGGCAAAACATCTGGTAGGCTGTTCCAGCTCGACAACTTGGAAAGCAACCTATGTGTCTGCTGAATTTTTAGCTCAGAGGGAAAAAGTAAAAAAAGATTAAAAAAAAAAAAAGAAAAGAAAAGAAACAACCCCAGAATGTGGCATGCGTTGATTATTATCAGCTGTTCTCGGCAAGGCACCACAAGGAGGAGTTGACTTCCAGAAGGAATTAGCCACTTTACAAGCTGAAGGGAAAGGGGGAGAGGATCCTGAAATCCAGGGTCCCGCAGGGCTGGAAAAAGCCAACTCCTCTTGCTTCTGATCTCCAAACACTAAGAGGCGCTCACGATCCACCGAGATCCGGTAAGCCTTGGCCTCCCAAGGTGAGAAGAAGGTGAAGGGTGTGGTCTTCCCGCCTGGGACTCAGAACCTCAAAGCCAGCATCTTGAGGGAGAGGCCAGAAGGAAGCAAAGCTATAAAGCCAACTTGAGAACGGCGTCCAGGAAAGAATCAGGAATGTCATCACTGACCCTAGACCTGCCTGGGAAATAAATAAAAAGGGCAGGGAGGGGGAGGCCGAATGGCTCAGTCGTTAAGCATCTGCCTTCCGCTCAGGTCATGATCCCAGGGTCCTGGGATGAGGGCCTGCATTGAGCTCCCTACTCAGCAGGAAGCCTGCTTCTCCCTCTCCCACTCCTCCTGCTTGTGTTCCCTCTCTCACTGTCTCTGTCAAATAAATGAAATCTTTTTTTTTTTTTTTAAGTGTAGGTTTGGGGGACTCCTGGGTGGCTCAGTCAGTTAAGTATCTGACTCTTGATTTCAGCTCAGCTTATGATCTCAGGATAGTGAGATTGAGGCCCGAGTCAGGCTCTGTGCTCAGCCAGGAGTCTGTTTCTCTCTCTCTCTTTCTCTTCTCTGCCCCTCCCCCTGCTTGCTTTCTCTAAAATCTTTAAAAAAAAAAAAAAGTGTAGGTTTTGGAGGGAATGACGTTGCCAAAGAAACCATTAGTCTGACCTTTAAAAAGGTAACCAACCAACGCTGTGCCTGTTGAGGAAGATTCCATTAGAACCACGTGCAGTCTAGAGATGGTTGTGCAGGCTGTGTCTAAGGGCACACGCCGCAGGGCCCCAAAGGAGTTCAGAATCGCTGCACGTCTGCCGTCCTCCTCCTTCCTGCATGAGCGTGTCCTTCAGGACCAGGGAACTCAGTGAACGAAACAGACAAAAATCCCTGTCCTCGTGGAGTATACAAGGCAGTTAGGGAGACAGGTCATGGGTACAACGTCAGATGGTAAGTTCTGTGAAAGTACAGATGCAGTAGGGGGCAGAAAATGAGGGAGGGGTGGCTCCTTTACTTAGTGGGGCAGGGGAGGGCCATCCTGACGGGTGACAGCTGAGCAGAGAGCTGAATAGAGGTGGGAGCCAGCACATGGATGTTCAGAACAAGGGCAATTAGAAATGGAGGGGCAGCAGGTGCAAAGGCCTAGAGGTAGGGCATGCCTGCTGGTCTGAGCTGGTCCAAAGCGGCCAGAGTGGCTAAAACAAAATGGGTTACCCAAGCAGTGTTGGGAGTTGGGCCTGGCCCAGGCCTGTAGGGCACAGTTCTTGAGAGCCCCATCTTGGGACATCTGGGGAACAGGTAGGGGCCATTTGGTTATTGCATTGCATGGGGAGGAGCTGCTGCGATTTAGTGGGTGAGCCTGAAGATGGTCATCCTGTGACACACACGATTGTCCCACCCAACCAAGAACTGACCCACCTCCCACTAGATTTTAAAACATCTTGCTGGGTATTTGTATAGATGAGAACATCAGTTCCTAATTATTTAAGCGTGGAACCCAACCCCATTACAAACACAAGGATCTGAGAGCTGGTGTGAGAGCCAGTTTTCCAGAAAGGCAGCTATGGTGTAAATCGGAGGAAGGCCAAACTTTTTCTTCAGAACTTCACCCAGAACTGGTCATCATTTTGGAAAATGTTGTCACCAATGGCACTGTCCTTCCTGGTGTCTGATTCTCCAGCCCCACCCACACACACGGGCAAGTTGGGTATGAGCAGACATACCCTGCTGCCCCATGTTAGGGATGGGAATTCTCTCCCATCCTGTGTCACCAACACAAGAAAGGGACCAGACCGGAAGACCTGCTGACCATAAGCAACGTTCTGATGTCCCATGCGGGGAGCTGGGGACAGCCTGGCTCAGGGTCCATTTGCACACCCAGTAGGCCCGTCCTCGTTTGCTTAATCCTGACCCCTTGAGGGCTCAGCTTCTGAGGTTGTGTATTTTGCTCTGGTGTATATTCATCTTAATTGTTCTCTCTGGATCGTCTGCCTTGGACTGGAGGCTCCTTTGAGGGTGGGGTGACATGTTCTTGGCAAAACAGCTTCCCGAGACATTCTTCAACTCAGGCCTTCCAGGGCCTGTGGGCCAGCAAGATGGCCTTGGCTCTGTCTCCTGTCACACACATGCCGGGCTCATTGGCAAGTTGCTGTGCAGCTGGGGGATGTCTCCTGAAACCCCACATGGCCCCCGTCCTCCTGCTACTCTGGAAATCTAAGCTAACAATGTCCACACGTCCTCTAAAAGTGAGCTGCTGCTGGGAGTTTGGCCCTGCCTGACAGCCAGGGGGCTGAGAGGGCAGGACGGGGACAACAAACAGATTCCCTATCATACTTGCACTTAGAAAACGGGCCCCAAGCCAGGGTGGACATTCATGAGCCGTGAAGTTTCCACCAATAAATCCATGAATGCTTCTAGCACCTGCCCTTCTGCCTTACTTCCTCCCCCTCCCCCAGTCACCTGCCAGCTAGAGGCTCAGTGTTGACAGCAGCTAGCAGAGGCCCAGTCACGGGGATGACGCCAGGGCCACAGTCTCCCCGAGGGCATGTGAGAGAGTGACGGCCAGTGGGGTATCTGGAAGGACACGGAGGCCAACGCTCAGATGTGGACCAACAGAACAGGACCCATTCCTGGTCACGAGGGCCACAGCGGGACTCAGCCTTGAGGCGTCTGGCCAGAATGAACACTGTGTATGAGGCAGACCTCTTCAGGTAGAATTGATGGAAAATGAACTCCAACAACTCTTCGTTTCCTGGGGCTGCTGTAACAGATTCCCTAACCTTGGGGGCTTAAAACAGAATTTCATTCTCACAGTTCTGGAGGCCAAAAGTCTGGAATCTCAGTGTTGACAGGGCTCCACCCCCTCCAGGAACTCTGGGGAGAACCCATTCCCAGCCTCTTCTACTTCTGGTGGCCGCCGGCTCTCCTAGCTCTGCTCTGTCTTCACATCGTCTATCCAATCTCCCCCTGCCTCTCTTATAAGGATGCATGTGACTGCATTTAGGGCCCACTCAGATAATCCAAGCCCCTCCTGTCCAGATTCTTAATCACATCTTTTGCTGTATTAGTTAATGTTTACTCTTTTGCAGGCATCTAAGGTAACAGTCCTAGGTTCCAGGGCTTAGGATGTGGACATAGCTTTGGGGCCCCCATTCAGCCCATTCCAGCAACAAAACCCCTGGAAAGTCAGTGGGCCCAGAGGTGGCTAGATGGTGGCCTCTGTACACCATGGTGCTTGGTCCCCTCCTCTTGGCTTTTGTCTTCAGAGCTGCCCAGGTCCTCACCCCAAATAGCCCTAAGCCTCCCACGTGGGAATGTTCACTTGGGGGAAGAACAGAGAACCAGGCAGCAGGAGTCCTGAGACCTTTCCTTTTCCCCCTGCTCCCAACAAGGAAGCCTCCTTTCCACGACACACTGTCTGATGATAAAGTGACTCCATTTCGTTAAAGCCCGAGCCCGAGTTGGAAAGAACTACTGAAGGGAGACTGCCAGCTGCTATTGGAAGAGGGCCACTGTTTTCTACAAGGTTCTGCTCTTTTTTCATGTTCATAATCTTTCAAAAGGTATAATTTACTCTAATTATTGGCGTAAAAAAAAATGAAGTGATGGGAGCACGTGGCTGGCTCAGTGGGTAGAGCACGCAACCCTTGATCTTGGGATTGTGAGTTTGAGCCCCACTTGGGATATAGAGATTCCTTAAATAAATAAACAACTTTTTAAAAATGTAGTGCTAGAATTAAACACACTCACACACGCGGCCCGTCATTTAGAAGATACGTAATTCTTCATCTGGGCCACTGCGCCATCATGGTGGGCAGCTTTCCGCGTTGCAGCTCCCAGCACACCTAAACAGCCTGTTTCTCCCCAGCCCACACACAGGTGTCCATTCCCATGCAGGTGAAGAGAGTCAAGAACATTCCTTCTTCATGAAGTGAGAGGAGGCTGAACTCTGAGCTTCCCCCTGCCCAGCACCCCTCCTTCTCTTCCTCTGGAGAACTGCCCTTCCCATTCCGTGTGATCTTTGCGGGCTGCCTGGAAAAGGCTTAAAACCCACGCTGGTCCTCCCCAGGTCCTGCCTCAGTTCGTGGATGATGGGAATGAGAGGAGCCTTTCTCTGCGGAGATCCCTAAAAGGAGAGACCACAGTCTGCAGCTGCAGGTGACACTCTAACGCATCCTGCAGGGAGAGCCTTCGTGGCCACGGAGGGAAGCCATGGATAGGCCAACGGGGCACCATCACTTGAACCCTGGACTCAGCTGTGCCGGAAGCCCGGGCTGCTCAGGGGCATACCCTAGCAGGTCGGATTAGTGCTGGGTTCGAGGAGATTACTGGCTGCAGCTGCAAGGCTGGTGGACTGCCGCCGTATGTGGTGTCTGTGGGTTTGCTCTGAGCGCTAAATACAGAGTCTCAGAGCCAGTGGCTCTTGTTCTGGTCAGGACAGCCCCAGGCCTGGGCTTGGGTGTGATCTGCACTGAAGCCTTGGTCTAAGGTCAGGTTCTCCAGAAACTGAGCCTAAGACAGGAATTCACAGGTCATGGTTTAGGAGAGGGAGTGCCCTCAGGGGAACCTCTGAGGGAGGCAGGAGCAGGCAGGGGAAGGTGTGCTAGGCGAGGCTGTGGTCTCAGCTGGGATCTAGCTTCAGCCCAATCCCACAAGGAGCTCGGGAGCACGAATGGTGCAGAGGAGAGTCCCTCCGCCCCATGGCTGCAGTCTACCTCAGGAGCAGAGAACTTTACAGGCATTTCTTCTAGAGTGGGGGGCAGCTCTGAGTTGTGTCAGCACCCAACCTCCCCAGCACCCAACCTGGTGTGGTGGGCACCTGACCTGCCCAGATTGGTCTCTGAGCAAGGCGCCAACAACATGGCCCACATGGGTTTCACAGCCCCTGACAAGCCTCAACCAGCTTTGAGAAGGAGCAGCTCAGAGACTCTGTAACCCTTCACTCATCGGTGTCTCCAAGCTCTTGAGAAAGAAGGAAGCGGGCAGAAGACTTCATACTTGGCCCCCATCATTCTGCCTTCTCCTCCCCGAACACTTTCGCAGGACCGCAGATCAACACAATGCCCCTGGCACACCCTCACCCACACCGGCCACACACAAGTGCTTGTGAAAACCTTATGAGACACTTCCTTGGACACCAGGAAAGAATTCGACTCTCCACATGGACAGAAGCAGGCAGAATGTATGGAAATAAACAGCAACAACAACAATGACAAAATGACCACCACTCTAAAGTGTCTGTCAGGCCTGGGCTCTGTGTACAAGTGACCCCAGGGCTCACTGGCACCCCGGATTGTTCCACTGATAGTGGAACAATCAGAAACTGTGTTTGGCTGCAAATGACAGATGTCTTTGGAGAAACTGGCTTCAACAAACTAAAGGTATTATTTCTCTCATACAATGAAGAGTCTAGTGGGAGGCAGCAGATGGGGGCTGGGGCAGTGGCTCCACAATGTCATGTGACTCCCATTTTCAAAATGGCTCCCACGTCCCCAGACATGGCCACCAAGTTGTGGGCAAGAAGAAGGGAGAGAAGGCTAAAGCCTGAGGGGTCCAGTCAACAAGTCTGCTCCTGTTTCAAGAATTCTCCTGGAAGCCTCATCTGTGACTTCCACTTATGACCAGGACTGTGTTCCATAACCACCTCCTGGCTGCAAGGGAGGCTGGGAAGCGTAGTTCCTGAATCCAAGTACTAGCAGAGAAGACAAAGCAACAGAAATCTCTGCCACTAGAATCTAATAGTTTGATTCAGTTTGGCATCTGCAGGTGAGCAGAGGTAGCCAGATTGGTTCTGATACCATCTGAGGTCACATAGGCCCGCAGAGGGATACCAGCCTGTAGCAGACTTGGTCTCCGGGATCCCAGGACAGATCACAGGAAAGCAAGGCCAGTCTCAGTGCATACAGGTTTATTGAGCTATGGTTGCCATTCATAGTGCTAGGTTAAACCACAGGGAAGATGTGACATGACCAGTGCAATGCAGGGGACTGGAGTCTCACTTCAGGTGGTGCACACCAAGCAGCATATCGTGGTTGGGAAGAACCTTACTAACATTAGTCAATGGGGCCTAGGTGGATATCATGACAGGTGGTGCCTCCCTGGGAGGGTGCCATGAAAGGCTGCAGTGTTAAAAAAAAAAAAGTTTACCTGTAAGTCTGTCCAGATGTACTCCTTAGGGTATGTTCTCTTCGGAGAAGCTGTTAAAAATCTCTTAAAATTCTTGGAATTTGGATGGTTTCTGACTTGTAGGTGATCTGGGGCCCCACTGAGGACTTAGCTACAAAGGTGACCCCCTCCCATCTTACCCTGTAGGAGAACCTGACTGTTCCAAGGTCAGTGGACAGAGGGACCTACAACCAAGAAACCCACTAAAAGGGAAACAAGGGGCTTTGCATCGGGCCCTTAACCCCACATCCCTCACTCTAGGGGACAGGCACACAGGGTGTCCAGACCTAAAAAGGACAGCAGTGCAAGAGCACTGGGGCCAGCTTGGGAGGCAAGCCAGTCCACTTTCAGGGGGCAAGAGGGTGCAGATGGGGCCCTATATCCCAGGCAGTATGGCTGTCAGTATGATGTTGTTGTCCAAGGTTGGCTGTCCTAGTCAGAGCAGGGGCTGCAGAGCGAGGACAAACAGCATGGAAAGCAGGGATTCCACCACCAGGAGCCCATGTGCGGAGGACACCTTAGGGGTGGGACCAGAATGTGCACTTGAGGTAAAAGCTGGGTTCTGCTCTCTGCCTCCACCACCTCCACCCCAGGCCATTCATGCCTCCATCCAAGCCCACCTGGAATGGAAGTGTGTGGAAGGAGACAGGCCAGGGGCTGGCAGCTCACCATCCTCTCCCTACACCTACTTGCAGGAGGCTGTGCTCAGGGTCCTGGCGGACATCTGGCTGGTTCTGCAGGATTGGAGGCCACCCACTGTCAAAGGCCTGTATGGCACCATCTATGGAGAAAGAGGGCCAGGATGGGCTAGGCTGGGAAACCCCAGCACCAGGCCCAGGTCCTCTGGGACAAACAGAGACCTCTGGCTTCCTGCGGTGGGTTAGGAAGATAGGATATCTGCAAGAATTGGCTTCTGGAATGGAAGGTGCATGACAAGGCCTTCCAAATTGTCATCTTCACAGGGAAGGGTGACGATTATTACCCCCATGTTACAGATGGGCACAAAAAGGCTTAGAGGAGTTGGCTAACTCTGGGCGGGTGAGTGGCAGAATCGGACTTCACAGACCACCCAGTTTACTCAGACCCAAAAAGCAAGATCACCTGGGCGTGGGACCACGTCAGAAGTGGCGCTGGCAGGAATTTCACCTAGTTCCATTCCAGGAACTCGGAAACTTGTTTTGACTGTTTCCTCCCACCCCTACCCGCCTGCAGGGTCACCAGCCTAGACATCCCTAAGATCCTACTTTGGTCTGTGATCTGGTCTCTGGGGATAACTGGGCGCGGATATCTGGAGGGGCAGGTCGACAGCACAGAGGGTGTGCACCTGCATGGCTGCCGCAAACAGCCTCAGTTTCCTCACCGCTAAAATAAGCTCTCGCCAGCCCGAAACTGGGAAGGAGCGGTCAGCGCCGCCCCACCCGGGCCCCTCACCCAAGCAGCGGTTCCTAGTGAAGAGCCCCCGGAAGGCTTCGCACTCCTCACGCCGGTTTCCGCTGGCTCCGCAGTCGCACCAAGGCGCCACGCGCGCGCTCGCGTTGTCCACATAGTTGGGAGTGACGGCGGTGCCTGCTGGGACCGCCAGGACTGGGTAATCGGCCCACCCAGGCGGAGGCATCTCCGAGAGAACCCAGTCAGCGCCCGGATCCCGGCAGTGCGTACCCACAAGGCCTGCGTAGGCACGCAGGCAGCGAGGGGCCTCATCCTGCAGGCAGACGTCGGGGGCGCTGGGGGCGGGCGAGCAAGAGGCCTGAAAGGCCAGGAGGCGGGGCCTGCGCGGCGCGACGGAGGGGCGGTGAGCGGGAGGCCCCGCCCAGTCCCCCCACCCGTCTCCTCCCCGCCTGCTCCCGCAGCCCGTTCACACCTGCCACACAGCCCCGCCCCGCCTCCGCCCCATCCCACGTAGCCCCACCCCCCTCCGCACCGGCAGATCCGGCTGTGTTCGCAGGCGTCTAAGGGTGCAAGGCAGGACGGCGGCGCCGGCCCGGGCCCCGCGAAGGCGCAGGCTGGCACGAAGGTCTGGCGCCGGCGCTCGGCGCACGCGGCGGTGGCGCACGGGCAGAAGAGCAGCGCGTGGGTGAGCGCGGGAGGCCCGCGGGCGAAGAAGCGGCGCAGGGCGCGGCGGCAGCGGGCGCGGGGGCAGCCTCCTGCCCCGACCCGACCCAAGCACTGAGCCACGTACTCGGTGCGCAGCCGCTCGCACCGCGCGTCCGCCGTACACGCCTCGGCCGCGTCCAGGCATCGGTTGCGTCCGGCCGAGCCAGGTGACCCTGAGGGAACGGCGGGCAGCTGCAGTTCTCCGGGAGCCTTACCAGCGCGCTTCCCCCGCGTCCCCCGGCCACGCCCTCTGAAGACGCGGGGCGCGCGGAACCTGAGGAGCGCAGAGTGTGGCTCGAAGGCGTGACCGGCTGGCACTGACCGCCCCTCTGTCGCCGGGACGGGCGGCCCCCGGCTCTGGGGAGTCCTGCAACACGTCACGGGTGGATCGGGCGCACCGAGACTCGGGCCGGCCTCCCTGAGACAATGAAGCCCATCCTCCCCAGGCACCACTCCTTCCGCAGAACGGCCACACCCGTTCAAAGAGGGGTCCGCGGGGCTCCTGCCACTCTCCTAGGCCCCAGCTGACGTGGGAAACAGAGCAAGGCTTCTGGGGACTTGGCTAATGGACATTTATCAGAGATGGGTTGAGGACAGTGGCCCCTCCTCTTTCTCTTTTGACACTCAGGGACAGCTGAGCTTTCTCCCTTTCTTCTCCTCCCTATTGGTTTCTGGGTCTCCCACCTTCCAGACCTTCTCAGGTGCCTCCTTCTGTCCCTTACCGTCTTGCCCTTCCACTCCTTCTGATGCTCCCTTCTCATCCTCCCGTGTGGCCCATCTCTGGTGTCACCTGGCCCCTCCACTCTCCACCAGCCAAGCAAAGGAGGGCTCTGGGCAGCAGAGGGCCCATTTAGACCAGGCGGCCAGAGTGTGAATTCCTCTGGTCAGAGCAAGAGAGACCCTCTGGTCAGGCAACAGGGATCTGTCCTTAGCCACAAGGCCCAATAGTCCATGACAGGTGGCAGTCTTCTGGGGGCCAGGTGAGGGTCTCATAGGAAGGGAATTGGCAGCCCCTTCCTAGGACCTGGGTCACCAAAACCAGACTTCTGCTGCCCCTCTCTGTACTCTCAGCCCCTGGAAGCGCTACAGTCATGGGCAAGTTTTCCAGTCTGGCCCCCCATCCTTCTCACTGAGTGTGTGCAGGGAGGTGGCTCCTGCTTCAGGTCTGGGAGCAGGGTCCCCATCTGGCCCTGGCCCCCTCTTTCAGGATCCATGGATTGGATGGCAGGAGCCACAGGGACTCTCCGTGTGGCTGCAGCATGTCTATTCCGCAGGCAGGATGAACAGATACCAAGGGCTTAGGATGAGTAGGTATGTGGAGAGGGTAGACGGGAGAGAGGGGAACCCTCCCCTCCCCTCCCCTCCCCTCCCCTCCCCTCCCCTTCCCCTCCAGGACTCCAGGAGCAGCAGAGAAACTCTACCCTTCTGTCCCAGCCAAACCCCTCACATGCCCAGCTTCAGCCACACACAGCAGCACTTAGTGTCACCTAAGGTCTTGGTCCCACCTCTGCTCCTTTGCTTACAGATTTCCCCTCTGCCAGGAGTACCCTTGCCTCATCTTTACCCTCAGCGCATCTCAGCTCCAGTATCTCCTTGGCCTTAAACCATTGTCAGATTCCATTCTCCCCACCCGGCTCCACCTGGTCAAGTGACGGCTCCCTCCGGGATGCCCCAGCTGGGGAAGGGGAAGTCAAGCAGGTGGAACAGCAGATGCGTGGCACCAAGGAATGAGTGTGAAGCTCCAAGACTGAAGATGGGAGAAGGGTAAGAGAGGTGGGAGAAGGGACCCAAGAAGAAAAAGAAAGTTTCTGGGACCGGGTACCAAGATGGGACTTGGAGGTGGTGAGTGGCAAGTGGCACGGTGTAGGCACACCCCATATGCAAGTCTACTGCCCATGCCCCGCACTGCGGTTGTGATTTTTTCCAGACCATCCTCTTGCCCCCTTACTTTGTCCCTGAAGATCAAGCAGAGAGGCCAGAGGTGAGGGGTCTGCGGGAGGAGGCAGCCACTCACCCAGCAGCAGCAGCAGCAGCGCAGGTGCCAAGCAGAGGCCCATGCCGGGCAGCAAACAGATGGGGAGGACGACTGACAGCAGAATCCCAGCGGGACAGGTGTCTGCTTCCCAGCAGCAGACTGAGCCCAGCGTGGGAACCCGAGCTGCAAGCGTCGTTGGTGCGGACTTGACACTCCCATGGGGAGGAGCCTTGTAGTGGGAATGACATCCTGCCCCACTGAGTGTGTTTCCCCCTGCCCCTCCTCCGCTTTGCCTGCAGGTAGGTCTGGGAGGCACTCAGCCTAGGTGGAAACACACACACACACACACACACACACACACACACTGCACCACCACTACCCCCTCCCACCCCCAGGAGACCTAGTCTCTCCCATGCCAAACTGTCAACTTTGTGAAACATTATTGTTCTTCCCCTTCTTTTATAATTTTAACTTTTTATTGTTAGCTAACCTTAGACGTGAAGAAAAGTTGCTAACAAAAATGTTAGTGTTCCCTTATATCTATCCTTCTCAGGATGGCTTTGACTATTCAGGATCTTTTGTGGTCCCATACACATTTTAGGACAATCTTTTCTATTCCTGTGAAAAATGCCATGGTATTTTGATAGGGCTTGCACTGAATCCATAGATGGCTCTGGGTAGGATGGACCCTGTAACAGTGCTGATTCTTCCTGTTCATAACCACAGAATATCTCACCATTTATCTGTGTCTTGTTCAGTTTCTTTCATCAAAGTCTGTAGTTTGCAGCGTACAGGTCTCTCACCTCCTTTGTTAAACTTATTCCTTGATATTTTTTATACAATTGCAAATGCAGTTGTTTTATTTCTGTTAAAGATCATTTGTCAGTGAGGAGAAACTCACCTAATTTCTGTATGTTGATTATGTATGCTCTAACTACCAAATTTGGGGATTAGTTTTTTTTTTAAGATTTTTATTTATTTATTTGACAGACAGAGATCACAAGTAGGCAGAGAGGCAGGCAGAGAGAGAGGAGGAAGCAGGCTCCCTGCTGAGCAGAGAGCCCGATGTGGGGCTCTATCCCAGGACCCTGAGATCACGACCTGAGCCGAAGGCAAAGCCTTTAACCCACTGAGCCACCCAGGAGTCCCTGGGGATTAGTTCTAATGGGTTTTTTTTTGGTGGAGTTGTTAGCACTTTCTGTATATAAAATCATCATTGGAGGTCACATTGGAGGTCATTGGAGCACCTGGCTGGCTCAGTTGAAGCACGTGACTCCTGATCTTGCAGTTGTAAGTTCAAGCCCCACACTGGGTGTAGAGATTGGTTAAAAATAAAATCTTTGGGGAGGTATGTGCTATGGTGAGTGCTGTGATGTGTGTAAGCCTGACGATTCACAGACCTGTACCCCTGGGGCAAATAATATATGTTAATTTAAAAAAAATAAAGAAAATATTTGAAAAAATAAGGTAAAAAATAAGAAATAAAATAAAATCATGTCACCTGCAAACAAAGATAAGTTTACTTCCCCCTATCTGATCTGAAGGCCTTTTATTCTTTTTTCTTTTTTCCTAAGGGCTCTGCTCACATTTATGCTTCGTGGGAGTGGTTGGAGTGGGCATCCTTATCTTGTTCCTGATCTTAGAGGAAAAGTTTTCAATCTTTCACCATTGAGTATGATGTCAGCTGTGGGTTTGCAATTATCTGACCTTTGTTATGTTGAGTTATATTCCTCCTGTGCTCAGTTTTTTTTTTTTGTCTTTATCATGAAAGGATGCGGTATTTTGTCAAATGCTTGTCCTGCATTCTATTGAGACACTCATATGATTTTTATCTTTCTATTAATGTGGTATGTCACGTTTATCAATTTGCATATGTTAAACCATCCTGGCATCTCAGGGGTAAATCCCACTTGATCATGGTGTATGATCCCTTTAATGAGCTATTGAATTCACTTTGCTAATATTTGGTTGAGAATTTTTGCATCTGTACTCATCAGGGATATTTTCCCTGCCCTAAGTCATCCCAGGGCCAGGTACCAGACCATTAGAGACACCCCTATACCTCACAGCTGGTCAGTTGCCCTGCCTTGCCTTTCCTGCAGAAACCTTAGTATAGGCTCTGCCCTTTCTCCTGCTTCTGCCTCCCCACTGAACGTCGTGCTTCCCCACGTGGCCCTGTGTGACACCCTTCTCTTGGGAATTATAAGTAATAAAAACTTTCAGTGGCATTAACCTCTCCATGCCAGTACTCAGGTCATCATTATAAATCAAAATCTCATGGGTACAATCAAGACAGAAGGCAGCTTGGGGTACTGGGGTGGCTCAGTTGGTTGAATGTCTGACTCTTGGTTTTGGCTCAGGTCATGATCAGGTCCTGAGATAGAGCCCCGCATCATCAGGCTCTAAGCTCAGTGGAGAGTCTTCTTGAGATTCTCTCTCCCTCTCCCGCTGCCCCTTCCCCTGCTTGCTCTCTCTCAAATAAATTAAAAGAAAAAAAAAAGACATAAGGCAGCTGTAGAAAACTGCCTCATTCAATCTCTGGGGCTGATGGAGCGGAAGCCAGCTCGGGGCTGCCTCTTCTCTGCTGCTCGTGGCAGGAATGGTTGGTTGTCAAAATTCCCCCAAGCCTTTATGCCCTCGGAAACATGATTCTGCTGCTCTGCCCATTAAGAAGTAGAATTTCTCTCCCAGTCCCTGGAACTTGGGCTGGCCCTGTGACTTGCTTGTGCCAATAGGGCATTATGGAGTTTAATGTGCCAGTCATAGAACCTTCCAGAGGCCTTGTAAGCGTCCACTTACTTTCTGGCAAGGCTGGGACTGGGGTGAGAAATGATCACTATTACGAATTTTTCCTTCTGGCTCAGGTTCCAAAGTGGCTTGGCATGACACTGTAACTGATCCGGTCTTCTGTTAAAATTCTGATATTTTGTTCGCCGTTGATTTTTTTTTTTGCATTAATTTTGATCTTTTGACTTTTGCATTAAGATATATCTTGATCACTTTTTTTTTTTTTGGTGTTCAAGGTAAGTGCATCACCTGCCTTGCCCTACTCCTGCTCTCTCAAACCCTCCGCAGCTGTCATGTGAGCAAGCCTGAGCTAGTCTGTTGGAAAATGGGTGCCTAGACTGCTCATCCTCATCACTTTAGCCAACAGCCAGCCAAACCCAGAAGTAGACTGGCCCAGCTGAGCAGCAGCTGAATTACACCTAATTTTCCAATTCACAGAATTAGTTGTTTCCAGCTACTACTATGTTTTGGGAGTGGTTTTGTTCTATAGCAACAGCTGACTGATACAGAAGGTCACCCAGCAATTCTTCCATGAGTAAGTGGCTTCTCAGAATCTCCAAGGGAGGCAAAAGAGGTGGGGCAAAGGGATGGTTCAAGCTAGGGAACAGCATCCTATGCCCAGGTACCTCTGGGGCCCTGGCTGCCATCTGAGGCCCCACCCACCAGCTACGTCCCCTTAGGACCCATAGGGAGCCCCCTGGGGCTGAATGGATACACAGAGAAAGACTCACAGAGGCTGAAAGGCAGCTTGTCTCTCTTTTGACTTTTACTTGGGTGTCCTTTTTAAAACAGCTCCCACTATCCCCTCCCATGGAATGGAGGAGAGGGTGAGTAGTGTCCACAGCAGACCCCACACTCCTCTGAAACCTCAAGTGCAGGACCAAGAACAGGCGTGAGGCTGAGGAAGCACCCGAGAGACAAGATAAGGCAGGAAAAGCAAAGGAGGAGGGTCCCAAGGATTTTTTTGTTTTGTTTCATTTTGTTTGTTTGCTGGGGCCAGGCTCCAGGGAAGTGGACTCCGTCTGAACCGTAGGGCCCTGAGGGCTATCTTCTGGCCCAGCAGTCACCAGTCTCTGCAGACCTGGGTCTGGGTAAAGTACATGGAGCAGAGACCCCCAGGGCTCCCCGGACAGAGGCTGGGTCATGCCCATCCTGCTGATGGGAGGTCAGTGGCTACATGACCTTCACTCCTTGGACTGATAAATTTTGGGGCTGCAGTACATACCCTACCAGGATTCCCTAGTCCTAAGGAATGGGGACAGCACTGCACACCTTCTGATAAAACTCTGGGGTCCTGGAGTAGGTGGGCAAGCTCAACTTAGGGAAGAAATCTGTAGGCTGCCAAAGTGCAGACGGTCTGACTCTGCGGCTCTGCGCCTGGGAGACCAAGTCCCTGGAGAGGCTGCCAGTGGTCGACGGTAAGTATCCTCATCTCAGGAGCTCCCTCTCACCAGCAGCAGGATCTCGGCTTCTGGACTCGGCCCGCTGAAAATGAAGAGGAAGGCTTGCCCCTGAGGGCCAAGACCCCCTTTCCTCCCTCACTGAGGATCAGTGACCCAAGAAGAGATACGACTTCTCTTTCTCCCACCCTAAGGCCTTCCAGCGTCAGGTCTCCGTGACCAATGCTCTTCCACAAGGTTACATCTCACTTGCATAATAACCCAAGATCAGCAACCTCCGAGTTGGGGCAACAGAGGTGGTGGGTGATGTGCGGAAGGCCCCGCCTACCTTGGGGTGGCAGGCAGGGCACCCAGCCAAAGGCTCCTCAAGGTGGCTCCTGGGCTCTGGCAGAGTTCTCAAGGTCTGCAGCAATGGGTGGAGGCCACATATTGTGACACTGGCAGGAGTCCCTGGGGCAGGGTGGGGACAGGGGCCTCAGGGTGTCTGGGTGCTACATGGAAAGGAGGGGGGCCCATCTGGAAGGAGGTGGAAGGCAAGAGAGCACATCCTTCACTTCCCTCCCCATCTCCTTCTGTGCCTCTCTCACCCAAGGGCTGGGGCTCTCCAATGACTGCTGGGCCCAATTCCATGGAGTGAACACCACTGGGGGGGGGGGCAGTCCCTGTTTGGGCCATCTTTGGGCCTGAGCAGTGGGATAAGAGGGCAAGAGGCTGGCACAGTGGTCCTGAGCAGATACACCTGACCTGAGTTCTGCCTTTAATGCGCCTCTACCCTTCTGGTCTATGTCCCTGCCTCCAGTTCCCCTCCTGCTCCCTCCTGGGAGAGGCCCTGGGGTTCTAGGCTCCAGGTCCGGCTCCTGCCCTCCCAGGGCCACAGGCATTTCTCTCTAGCCCT